TTTTTTTTTTTTTTTTTTTTTTTTTTTTTAAGGATTTTACAATGGTCGGTGGATTGTTGAGAAATTTCGTAGAGGGGAATAGAGAGTGGTTTTGTGATTTTGCAATCGTGCAAAGTGACGCCGCACTTTTCGCTTTTCGAAGAAAATTCGGTCGCAATTGTACGATTACACGACTATTGCGCGCAATTTGATTAATCGCACGACAGCACCACGCAACAGTTAATCTGAGTCGAGCCTGGTACGAGTCGTGAACGATACCCCGATGAAGATAGGAAAGTTCCGTTCTCCCGAAATTAACTGACACTCTGAACGAATCTATCTGAAACTATCCCTATAGAACTGGAAGTAGAGGAGGAAAAGCTTGGAAGGAGCATCAAACGAGATTCGAATAAAGTTTCGATTTTTGAGCGTCGATTGACGGGGGTCAATTATTTCATACTTTCTAGTCCAAAAGTCGAGCAAAAGTGCGAAGTGGTACGAAACGAAAGGCATCGTCGAAATATGTTGGTCGAAAAGAGGGGAGGATCGGAAGCGACCACGTTAAAAACGAGCGCAACGGCGAAGGAATTGCTCGGCGGAGTCGTCGAAAAGAGGGGTCCCGCGGAGCGGAGAGGCGGCAATAAAAAAGGCCCCCGGGGTCTGATCGCGCGGTCCGCCGCGGCCATTGTGCAGGAGCCACGTCCAGGTGCTACTGGTAGCGCAAGGTAAGCACACGGCGCACGCTCGAATAAAGTGGCGTGTCCGAATGAGTAATAAGCGTGGCTGGGCGTATCCCGGTTGGTTAGGCTGCCTAACGGCGGTGGGGCCTAATCGGAGCCGCGTGTTACGCACGCAGTCTGCTCTAACCGCTTTTTGCTTCCCTCCTCTCCGTCTCGCCCCGTCTCGCAGCCGCGCTACGCGATTTGTGGGCCCGTCATACCCGTTCCTTCATTGGACCAACATTTTTCGGCCACGCGACGGAGGGCCCGCGCGTTTATTGGAGCAAAATTTTTTCCCTACGTCCCCAACCAAGTTTCACGATTTATTATTATATACGGTAATCCCTTTGCACACCGTTTTACGTGGAGTTTGTTTCGATCTATTTGACGTAATTTTTATACGATTCGTGTTTGAATAACACTTAAAGAATTCGTTAGTTTTTTTAGAATGTGATTTTTGAGGTAAGGGATAAAAGTTACGAAGTTGGAGTAAAGCTTTCACTCGGTGCTTTTTCACCGATCTATTATTCGATCTTCCTATCTAGAATCTGTTTTGAAGTTATGTCGTAGCTATGGCTCAATTTTGGTCATTCGAATTTTGGAATTATGGAGGATTATTTTCGAACGAATAAATAGGTCTTCGTATTTGGTCTACCTGTCGTTTACTTATTTCTCTTGACACTGATAGATTATTCCCCTGACGTTCGATGAACTGAAATCCTATACCATTAATTCTACCGACGTCCAGGTAAATAAATTTTTTCGCGCACTTGCCCTTTCTGCAGTCAACCGACTTCCACACATCTGACGTCACGTTAGAGATTAATAATACATCCACGCATCCAAGCTTCCCCAATTTTTTCCATCCCCAATTTCAATTCCTTCTCGCCTAATTTCGCCACGAACAATCGAAACCACTATTGCCAAGTTCGTCTATGACGAGGTCAAAGCCAATGTATGATAATGTATGATAATTCGATGTATACGGAGGTTACAATCTCGTAATAAGGGATCTGCGAATGAGTATACCCACGCGGTGTAAGTTACGTAGCCATTTTCAACGTCGTTCAATTTCACCGTCGATCGTCGAGTGAAAAGCCATTTCAACGTTTCCTTTCCCTTCCATCGAAATTGGAGATATCAATGTGCCCGTACGTTTCAAGGTTTGGAATATGGACGGCCTTTCCAGGCCGGTCCTTCGCGCCGGTCACGACACTGTACATCGTAAAATACGATTTCGATTCATCGCGGCGAATAATGGAGTTGTTTAGGGCACTGTGAGGTGAATACAATCGTAGCTTCGAACCGGGCAACCGAGATTTCTTAATCCTGTTAGACACGCGTGCTGCAATTCGATCAGGCTGTCGCCGTTCTAAGAACACCGATGCCAACACGAGTGTCTCACTCGTGAACACGGGCACGTCCCAGCCGGGGTAAGGGCACCGTGTACCGTACTTGTCATCCCGCCGAAAACATATCGTCCCGGATCGGACGTGGAAACTCGTGATTCGCATAAATACGGTTTACGTGGAAAGTTTTACGGTGTGGAAAAATGACGCTTCTTAGGTAGCCTCATAGGGTAATGGATAAAATTTCTTTTCTACCAGGCGGAGACACAACTATCGCGAGTACAATGGTGATCCGATATCGCGATATTCGTGAGCGAAATAAATTTTGGAAGGGAGGATCGAGTTAGTTAACTGTGTTTTATGTATATATCCGTTTCTTGAAGTCTCTGTGAATTTACATCGAACGTGCTCGTAACTTTCACGATCTTTATTCTTCTTTACTCTTCCCTCTAAAATTCTCTCATTTATGATTCTGAAACGAACGATTCTGAAATAGTTATCCTGAGTCTGGTCGAAAGACGCTTAGAAAATCTAGAAAAACTTTATTTTACTCCCTTTATAACACGAAGACTGACTTTGCTCGTCAATTTGTCCAAACATTCCAATCCCAAATCCCACAAATTCGCATCCTAACCAAGCTCAGAGCAATCGATTCAAGTCGAGGGAAGTCTCTTTTAAGGGATGCCCGAGTTCGCATCCAACGAACGTACAAGTTTCTGATAGATGATTTTGCAAGATGAAGGAGATTTCTCGAGAGGGAAGCCTCCTGTCCCGATCTCCCCGGAGAGGAGCCGCTCCTTGACGAAAGGGAAAGGGATCCCCGCGACAGCCGACGAAGACGCAAGGCCCCCGCGTTTACGCTCGGTCCCTCGCGAGCAAAAGGACGGAGGGCACGGATGAAGAGGCAGCCAATCAAAGAGAGGACTGAGTTGGAGCCAACCAGAAGAAGCTCGGTCGACGTGCGTGCACCCGTTCTCGTATGTATGGTGGAATAAAGAAGGGAGCAGTAGCCTTCGTTCGTTCGCCGGTAGCCAACCAAAGAGGAGCTGCTACCGTGCACCGCCCTACCAGCGACTACCGGTTTTCGGCCAGTCGGCTACCGAATCCTCCACACAAATCCACCAACCGGAACCACACCCTCTGGATCGACGTGGTCACCCGGTACGGAGAGTAACGAGGTGGAAGGGCCTGTCTGTCCGGGAAGGGCGACTTCCTATTACGATTCCTCCACGTCCAATGGAATCAGAGGCATGGAGGTGAGGTGGAATGGTGAATCGAGACGTTGATCCAACAAGGCTTTCTTAAGGCACAAGTCTCGTATATTTAATTAGATCAAGTTTAAATTTGGGAGATAAGATTTTGAAACAATTTATTTTGGGATGATGAAAGGGAGGAAAAAATTAACGAATTTAAATTATGCGTGGATTCGTTAAAAATGGGCCCTTTGAGGGGAAGGGGTAGTTTTGGGTAAAAACGATATGGGATATGGGAATTATTCCATTCCTGATAAAGAGTGAAAATTTTCGTTCTAGTAGTAATTAACTCGTTTCGAGGAATTTTAAATCGTGAAGTCGAAATTTTTATTTGCGATTAATTTCGCTAATAAATATTAGCAAACAACAGTTTAAGAATAAACGAGCCGAGAGGGAGGCACAGCGTTTGAGAGCGTTCGACGAATAAAAGATACAGCGTAGCCTGGTAGCCAATCAAAATGAACGAGCTACCGTGTACCGCCCTGTGGCACGCTACCGGTTTTGGGCCAGTCACCACGAAGACTCGAGAGACATCGACGAATGTGGACCACACCTTTTTCCCGCCCGCGCGATCAAGCGGAGCGAGAAACGACAATCCCGAAAATAATCGAAACTCGATCCTCAATTTACGCGCGAATTTGATTCGAACTAACAGAGAGGAAAAAAAAAATGTCGAAAAAATTTTTTAAAAATTCAATTTCCAATATTTAAACGTATATATACATTTGTAAATACGATGAATTATTAATTCGAAATATCGATCGAAACGGAATGTAAACAGCATCGAAATCAGGGGAGGGGGAGGGGCATCGGTGACTCGAATTCGAATTCGGTGTGGTAAGAAAAAGAACAAAGTATCGCGAGAGTAAGCGTGTTCGAAGAGGAGGGAAAAAAAAAAAAAAAAAAAAAAAAAAAAAAAAAGAAAGTCATCAAAGTCGCACTTACCGGTCGTAGCGTACACCCACGCTCGGTTCCCTCGTAGCGTTCCCTCTCA